ATATATATATATGAGTGGAATGATCATTTGTTCTAAGAAATTTGTTATTTTATAGGCAGATTTTTAGCGAATTCATACTCTCTTTTCAGCACTTCTCCGTTTATTTTATGCTGGAGCTTTGTGTTGCTGTACTTTCTTAATGATCAGGTATGAGCGAACAGATCTTGAAAAGAGCAAGCAAAACGAGAAACAAGCAGTTTGTTTAATATTTACTTCGAAGAAAACTTCAATCTTTTCAAAGAATCAATACTCTATAATAGTTATAACTACTTTGTGCGATTATTGAACTGATACAGACTCCTTATGATTTTTCCTCGTCGTAATTGATGGTAGTTTCCCTTGAAATGTTTCCTTGATCATCACTCTCTCCTAATCAGTATTGTAGTTTTCTGTATGTTTATCTTTTGTTCATTCTTATTCTCGACTTTGCTATCATCTTAACAACAACCCACGTGCATCTTACGGTTGCTGCACAAATCAGTCATTTTTGTGTTAGTTGCTTTATCAGGATGATTTCCAGTTATGTATTTCCATACGATGGTTGATCCTGTTTGAATTATTCGGCCGTTCATTTCAGCATTAATGCTATCAAATGTACTCGTAAACAGTTTTCAAATCCTTGTAATTTTGCCGCTACACCTGTTTAGCATAAACATTTTTAAGCCTTTCAAAGTATTTTATTTTCAGTTTGCCTTCTCACCCACTCATCGTTGCTATTCATTAATAGGTAATCTATTGCACCATTTCTACTGGATTCATCCCGTTTTATTTCTGTTTTTCTTGATTTATTTTGAAGTACAGAATAAATACGAATTGTGATCGCGAATTGAACTATGCAAAATGTTCATTGCTCAACGTGATTGAAATTGGTTGGATTCGTGCTATTTTGAGAAGAGCTCGTTCTAGCTGTGCGAATATTGACTGTTTTTTTCTTTTTCCGTTTATTTTGATTCTCGACTTATTTTGAAAATGGATTCATCGCTAAAAACTCTTTGTAGAGAAGTGTGGTAAGTGCTCTTGTTAAACAATATCAATATGAACTGTACTGTTTGATTAAGAATTGGAGATTTCAATAGGAAGGAAGCTCCTAGGATTTTCGATTTAGAGTCACGGTTTATTTGTCGAATTTTTTCATTTTCATTCGTGCATTCGTAATCATCTTGTAGCCATTGTTATTGACATCGAGATGTGTGGAATAAATACATTCTCGAATTCTCTCATTCGCGTTGTTACTTGGTGCTGTTTGCTTATGGTTACCTCATAGTTTTGTTTTGCAGTAGTTAGTTATTGTACGACGTGAAAATGCCTAAAGGAAGTTCATTTACACACGAACATCAGCGACTTTCAACTGGAGTGGATGATTTATGGGACGCAGATGCGGATAAGTACAAATGCTGCTGTCGTTTGATACATGTTGTACGCGCATCGTTGTATATTGCATATGTTCAGATGCTTGTCACATTCGTTTTTACCGTCTTCTTCACTTACTACTATATTCAGGTTATTCACTCATTCTTGCTTGATTCATTTCTCATCCATATCGACAGTTGTTTAAATCCTCATTTCTTTCAACTTATTCAGCACCCCTCTAAAGGTCACATTGAATAATTTGTTTTGAACGAATTCCTGTTTAGGGTTTTTTTTCAATTTTTAAAATTCTTTTTCTTTTTACATATACTTCTTTGAACTGGGAGTGTGTTAATGAATCTTTATGAATGCACGCCAATGGAAGTTTGCATCCAGAGATATTTGTGCTTCTAATTACATAACCCATCGACATTTCATCGGCGATAAATTTGTTTCAGGCGGTGAAAGGCAATCTACCAGCGGAGCATTGGATTAGCCAATTGGGCGAACGTTACATCAGTAAATATTTGCTCTTATCGATTGCGTTTTCAAAATTTTAGAGTCATTTTATTATTTTCATTTCGTTTCGAATATGCCTAAAAAGAAAATTTAGCATCTTGGCTGTTTGCGGTTTCAATACAACTGATTCTCGGTGCAATGGTAATTCATGGTGTTTACACAGAACGTCGAGCTTTTTTAATACCATTCATCCTGTTCGCATTTATCGCCATTGTCTTCGGTTTCACTCAAGTAATATTTACTCTGAAATGTTATTGCTTGTTCACTTTTTATGTTTATTATGCAGTTTTAAGACAAATGCAATTGTTCATAGTTGTTTTAAGTTTTGACTCATTGAGTTGAGTAATAAATGATGTTTCATATGGTGCTGCCCATCTTCTTTCGTCGATATATTTTTGTATGAATGAAGTGTGTACGTTTCATTACGAAATATGACAATTGCAGATTGTGAGCGATTGCTTCAACATTGTTTACGTATCTCAAGCTCATTCTGGCAGTGACGCTAAGTAAGTGAATAATCTGAATCAGTTACATTTATTCGTTCATTTAATTTCAGAATCAGTGGACTGCTTTCAAAATATACCATATCAAACCCTTTCTAGATCCCAGTATATTCAGCTCCTTGGGATAGTATCAACTGAGTTCCCTAGTGAGAATTCGTCTAGGTAAGAACGGTATGCGCCGAGGGAGAGAGGCGTTAGCCTAGCAACAACGTACCGTGTGCTTACATATTTTGCTCAATTATTGTCTATGGTTTCCTTAGTTTCCATGTTCATGTTTTGTTGATCCGTACTCATTTTCACACAGCCACGGCAATAGCTTGTGAGTGTGTGCAAAGGTGCCATATAATGTGCCATAATTCGTAATTAATTGTCCTTAACACTTTACACATAAAGTTTGCAAATATATAGATTCAATTCTGAGAATAATTGGCAGTTGTGTTGTTCAGATTGTTGATTTTCTTTGCACTCATAAGCTATCGCCGTATCGCATTGATCTTATGACTTCTATCCCACATAACCATTCTGTTTGTTTTTGTACATTTACAGCGCTTCAATTGTCCGCTCGAATACCCATAGACCAGTGGTTCTCAGCCATTCCGTCTGCATCTCCCGGAAAATTTTAAGATGCCCTCACAACATCCACTCTATATCTCTCATCCACTACAGTGAGTGTCTGTAGTGTAGATTAGTTTATACCATTAGAGAATTTTATTGGTTTATTTATTCGCTTGCAATAAGTGAACAAGTTAATTATAATGATAACGGCATGACGAATATACTATCCCATCAGTCTAGACTTTTTATATACTACCCTATTAATCCTGAATAATCTAGTCTTCTCAAAAATGTACATTAAAGTGCACTATCGCCTATTTTATGCACATGTATGTGTTGAACTCCGTCCTGGCCTACTTCAGTGCCTAAAAAATAAAACCTTATCTCGTACCCCTGGGGGGTGCGAGTATCTCCGTTGAGAAGCACTGCCATAGACGTTTGACAATGGAACATCCGTATCTATCTCGTCAAAGATCTCTTTGATTTATATTTTTGTGTTGTCTAAATGTCATTCCGTTTCTACAGCTTTCACAGCCACCGGACTAACGTCTAACCTTAATCAGTCGATTATTGAAATGTAATTCGTGAAATTGACATTATCTGACGGACCGTCGTCAAAAATCTTTTTCAACAGCAACAGTCTTCCATAGTTGTTACGGCTACTTCATCAAAAATATATTGTGCTTTGTGCTTGTTATTGGACATGATTTTTTTTCTATTTTAGTCAGTTCATCTCGCAAATGATTGGTACAATGGTGCATGTATGGTGTGTATCGATTGTCTGGCGTTGCTATGGATTCTTGGGAGACAAGAAGGTAGTAAATTACTGATCATTCTTTCTGGTGACAACCGTTTCGTTTGCTTATTATCAGATTTCATATTAGTGAAATCGGATATCTATTTTATTTCAAAATCAAGCGACCATTGTCGTTCTTTCGATGGCTAAACATTCGCTTCTATTCAACGAGGACAGAATTTGTGAGATATTCTAACTCTAAAGTTTCAGTTGTAATTTTCAAGAAAATTGTTTTTATTGATTTCGTTCGTTTCGGGTTTCATCTCAGTAACGAAAGAAAGGGATGCGTATTACCTAGACGAAGTGTTTATTTTTAAATCATTTCGCTGTTTAGGTAGCACGTCAGATCTGCGAACAACTCTCAGCAACTCACGCAGCATTCCACTACGCTGATATTCCATATGGCTATGTGGCAATGCCACAACCACCAACGTACGCTGAAACAGTGATCAGCACTGATAAACAACCTATTGCTATTTCTTAAATTATTCTAGCAATCAAGCCTTCTTCCTTCGCTGTACTCACTTTTTTCCTTACTTCTGTTCGCAGTCGATTTGTTTCCATCTTTTTCAGCCCATTCATTTTTCAAAACCAACACTGTAATTAATAGTTTTGGATGCATACTTGTTTGTGTGCAATTCAACAACAACATCGTCATTGATTTCATCGTAAAAATCCCAACTCATTATGTATCAGTTTTATTCCGTAAGGAATAATTTTGTTTATGTTCAACCCATTTTGTTGTTTTCGTTTTTGTACATGAATGTATACATTATGCGTACAAGTATTGTTCGTATTACTATTTGTGTTTCAGTTTAAATTTCTCATGCTAACATTATTAAGACGAATCGAATCACTTGTGATGAATTTGTTCCATTTCGAAATGAGTCGAAATCACTTGTCAGACAGTTGATTCGAGTTTCAGTTACATCGTCGCATAGGAGCATTTGTAAATCGATCATTCTTCATCAAGTGTTTAGAAATGATAAATTTTGGACGATTGGTGCTTTGCATTGATTTGTTCTCGTACTTCGTTTTATGCAACATCCAGTTGAATTTTCAACAGTAATAGGTATGTACGAGATGATATTTATAGATTTAGCAATTTGATTTGCTATTTCTTTGTTGTGCTGCATTCGAAATTCTCATTTCGAAACAATTTCCATCACCTTGTAATCATGTTTGCTCGCATGATATGGTTAATCTGTTGTTTATTGACTACTTTACGATATACTGCTAACACATGACTGCGGCCGTTAGCTGTGCAAATGTTTTACTGCAAATCGCAGTTGATAATAAATCTTTCCATTTCGTTTTTGTTGCTATCATCTTCAGCGTGTCTCTTGAGTGGATTCTAATTTTGAGCAATAAACTAATTCGTATTCAGTCGGTCTGATTATTCTGTTGACTACATTGAGTTGGTCATCACTGACCAATCCATGAATCTACCATAAGTTTCTTTCCTAGAACGCATTTTTCCCTTCTTCAATGCCCTCTACCACTTCACTCGATTATATCGCTAAATTTCTTCATCTATTTTTTATCAGTGGTTACCAAACAATTAGTCGTATGAGACTCAGTGAATCGAAACTATTTTGATAATAATTGAATTTCACAACGGCCACGTTTATTTCTTATTACTTCTGCTTCAAAAGAGTGCAATTTTAGATTACGTGTACTGATTGTTGTTCATGGCACATAGTTCATTAATCCAATCCATTTATTTTCGTACCTCATTTGATTTCTACTCTATTTTATGATGGTAGGGTGGAATATTCATCGATTTTTTGGTGGTCCGCGATTTATAGAAGTTTGGGAACCACTGTTTTGTATCACATATGCATTCAAAATATCCTTGTTATGATATTTGAGTCGAGCTAGGGAAAGGAATAACGTGATTATCCCAAAGTGGATGTATCAAGAGTTGCAGACCTTTTTTGGGGTTTATCTTTAATGGCTTACGCTGTTTCAACCATTTAGAGAGTTGGAACAATGGGGCTTGGAGTGATGAGCAACCAAACTGGTTTCCTCCGAAACTCGTTTGTTGACGCATTTTCGTTATGCTTTGGGTATATGCCTGCGAATGTAATGAAATCTTATTAATTGTCAAAATATAGACGAAGAACGGTTACAACATAGAATCATTGAAGTAATTTGTCACGTTTTACTGGAGGTTTGCGTAATATTTTTATGCAATCCATATGCAGTTATTAAGTTGTTTCTCAAATATTACTTAACTTGTTACTTTAGCTGTCACTAATGTAATTCTCATATTCATTCATAAAATTGTTCTCTTCTAATTAAATGCTTTACCGTATTTAATTTATAGTCGTTGTTGTAAAACATCTTTTGATTTAATGTCGTCTCCCTGAATCATCCCAAGCATTTAGCTGTATTGGTCTAATTTTATATCTCCCTCTGTCATCTATAATTTGTTTGCAGAATTTTATTGCTTGCAGATTTCTATTTTAATAAAACTGTTCTAGAAAATTTCTTCAATAACCTGCTAGAAACCTACAATATCTGCGATTTTCTTTGTCCCTCCTTGATCAAATGGCAGAATGTGATTCATTGAATTAATAAATCATCAACTAAAATAAGATCCATTTAGATGAGAACAGCAGCCATAATGTATTGCGTAATAACTGCGAAAATCACAAGTATCGCTTGTGTTTTCAACATATAACACTCACCATGCCCTAGTCGTAAGGATACCAACAATGTTCGAAGCTGTTTTGGAAATATTCGATCCTGTGATGCTGATGTATGCAGAAGACTCTGTAATCACAAACCATGAACCAAATCCGTCGGATCAAGAAGTAAAAGCTGAAGTCTTGTGAAAAGCGCAATTTGCATATCTTCAGCATGCTCACTAAATTTTGTTTATCCCATATATTATTCAACTGTATCAGATCTTAGGAAGATACACAACTGTTGAGGGTCCAAAATTGCTCTGCCGAAGCATTTCAAGTATCACTGAAATGAGATTTAAGCAAATTTTTACAGCCGAATAAACGGCGTGTATAAGAGATAGTAATAATAAAAGGAACACGTACATCACGACCACAAAAACAATTTTTCAAAACAAATGCATAGAAGTTAAACACACTTGGGAAATGACATGTACCAGACGAAACATCATTCACAACTTACGTCCCTCATTAACAAATAATCATCCAAGATGCCCTGTGATCTATCTGCTACTGAACACTCACAAGCTCAAGGAAGATGCTCTGACCGCTGGTGAAATTAGCAAAATGAAAGTTCGCCCAATGATATGGCTCCTCGGATCAAGTGAGCTGGCAATTAACGAAACTGCTCACTCTCCTGCTGGACCAGATCCCCACCCACTTATGCAATAATAATGAACTATTGAACGGATTACACGAGGCAAAACTGGATGAAGTCAGAAATATGGAGAGCTTCGACACTGAGTCGCTGGACACGAATATTGATAATGAGCGCAAAGCTTGTTGCTGCTGTTAAGATAACATAGGTCCACTGTGAATCTGTTCGGCTTCACCATTACTGACCTGGAAGCTTGTCTCGACTGTAACAAGTTCCAATTTGACGGCTCATTTACGAACAGAGACGCGGCTTAGCGATGGGAAATACGGTACTGACCATTACTTACCATAGAAAGACGATGCATTGACTGGGACGTGATACTTTATGAAATATTGGATGTTATTATAATGCTCACAACTGATCACGAGGATACAGAAAAGATCTTCACATTGTTAAACGCCGCAGCAAACAACATCAAGCTCACCCGTGAAAAACCTAGTGGTGAGGGATGGCTACCTTTTTTACATCTAGAAATACACATCAGAGACGGCCATCTTGAATCAAGGTGGTTCCAAAAAGAAATGAACAAGGACAATGATATTACCAAATAAATCTGCACACCCAAAACGCAGGTACTACAAAACACCATCAGAAATGCACTGAAAGTGTCCCCAGAAGAACACACGGAATACTCAGATAATGAAGCTTTGAAAGTAGCCAAACAAAACGATTATGATGGGAATATTGTGAATGCCTACAGTCGAATTCATTTCGTTAAAGATCTCCCCGTCTTCAAAATACCATCCATCACGGATAATTTCATCGTTGAAGTGCGTAGAATATTCGCCAGGTGGAAGACTGATGTCAATGTTGTTGCAATACCAGCACATGTGAATGCTCATCCTTCTACATAGGTGAGATCGGCTAACCACTTATATTACGCTGCAAGCAACATCTAGTGGATATGAAGCATGTAAACCGGGAGAAACCATGGTCGCTACACACGCGGGAAAACTTTAAGGGGAGATTACACACAAATTGAAATTTTAGCTCATGAGCAAAACTTACAAAGAAAGAAAATAAACAAAGGAGGCGATCTTCATCGAGAAACTGAAACCGGATGTCAACATCCGGCATAAAATGAGTGATGCAATATGATTCATTAACCCTTTCTCACAATTCGGACTACTCATGCACGCTTATTATTATTATTATTATTATTATTATTATTATTATTATTATTATTATTATTATTATTATTA